GTATTTTATTTAAAGTCATAGTATAGTATTTTATTTAAAGTCATAGTTTGGTATGTTTTATGTTATTAAATGTCATAAAAAGTTGAATCATTGATCTGAATGTTGAGGAATCTTCTTCATCCCAAATGTAAATAGTTGATCAGCTGATGTCGTTAACTGATCTCAACATGTTGAAGTTTCTTCAGTCGTGACCTCAGAATGAACGGAAGATAATTTCATGACCACTGAAGAAGACCATGTGTGTGCCTGAAAGCTCTACAAGCAGAATAGTGGCCAAATCCCAATGTCCCTCCTAAACCCTCTGACCCTGAACCCTCAAACCCTGAACCCTCAAGGACTCACTGACATCACCTGGTGAGTGTGAGAGACTGTGAGGGCTTGAGATGGTGGAAATAGGAATGGGACAGCACTTTGCTGCAACACATCACGTTACCATGACAACTACAATAAATATGTATAACTGTATTTATTTTATACTTTGTACTCCCTGATATTAAAGTCTTCAGGCTCTTTCCTCACTAGATGAGGTAACTTCATATCATCTCTTTACTCGTTTATGTCAAAACAGCTTCAATGACAAAATCTAATATTTGATGAATAAATAAATAAATATCTTCTGATTTCATGTTTATTTTTTGTTCCATCTTTAACCCTTAATATTTCTGTGTAAATTTATTATGACAGGCTGAACACACGTGATCCATCCTCTTTGTTTACCTTTTTTTTTTACGTCTCCATGCGTCCACTGGTTACCCCGTGTTTTACGTCACATTGCAATGATTTGTGGGTAATTCCCTTAGGCTAAATCAGCATACCATGCTGACTTACGGAAAGGGTTCATAAAGGGCTCAACATGTCTGCTAGAACCTCAAACACTCGATGATGTGACAGTGGGACAGCCCTAAAACCTCACGGACTTCGCATGTTCTATTCATGTTTGGTTATTATAAATAAAGTTTGTTGAACAATAAACCAACAGTGACTCTTCAGATACTTTTATTGAGTTTCTGTTCCATAATTACAAAGATTCTTTAACTGGTGAAACAAAGCAGTAGTGTCCCCCCCCCCCCCCCCCCCAGAGGGCGGGGGGTGCAACAGGAAAGATCATCACTGACACAAAATCAAAGATTATTTTTCTCCTAAAACAACAATATTGATGATGTGCAATTTAACAAAAGTTTAAAAATGAATTCATACAGTGTTTTTTCATCAGAGTGAGACCTCCGTCACCGTTAGCTCGGCGGCTAACGTCCTGCTAAAGCTTATCAACAACTTATTTAATAGAGAAGAAGAGGAGGCGATTGGTCCCTCAGAGCCAATCAGACTAAGGGTCACACACAGCAGCCATCAGCAGGGTTAAAACCAGGGGGCGGGGCTTCCCAGCAGGTCAAATCCAACAAAAATAAAAGCAGCTGGAAGCTCAGACTCACCCCGCCACAATAAAATCTAAACTCAGTCTGCAGACTGATTGGTTCATAAAACCCCTCCTCCCTCACGTACAGGGGGCGGGGTCACGCGGAGGCGGAGCCTCAGGGATCCATCTCCAAACCGTCCAATGTGAGCTGGCTGCGGTGGGGGGAGTTAGGACTGGGAGGGCTGCTGGGGTTAGAGCTGTTAGAGGGGGTCGAGTGTTTGGTGGAGTCCGAGTCCGGCTGGAGGGAGAGAGAGAGAGAGACAGGTAAAGAGAGAGAGAGGTAGAGAGAGGTAGAGAGAGAGACAGACAGAGAGAGAGAGACAAGTAGAGAGAGAGAGATAGAGAGAGACAAGTAGAGAGGGAGAGAGAGACAGACAGAGAGGGAGAGAGAGACAAGTAGAGAGAGAGAGAGAGCGGTGGAGAGAAGTAGCGAGAGAGAGAGACAGGTAGAGAAAGAGAGAGAGACAGGTGGAGAGAAGTAGAGAGAGAGAGACAGGTAGAGAGAGAGAGAGAGAGAGACAGGTAGAGAGAGAGAGAGAGAGAGAGACAGGTAGAGAGAGAGAGACCGGTGGAGAGAAGTAGAGAGAGAGAGACAGGTAGAGAGAGAGACAGAGAGAGGTGGAGAGAAGTAGAGAGAGAGAGAGACGGGTAGAGAGAGAGAGAGACGGGTAGAGAGAGAGAGAGACGGGTAGAGAGAGAGAGAGAGACGGGTAGAGAGAGAGAGGTGGAGAGAAGTAGAGAGAGACAGGTAGAGAGAGAGAGAGACAGGTAGAGAGAGAGAGAGACAGGTAGAGAGAGAGAGAGAGACAGGTAGAGAGAGAGAGAGAGAGAGAGAGAGAGCGGTGGAGAAAAGTAGAGAGAGAGACAGGTAGCAAGAGAGAGACGGGTAGAGAGAGAGAGAGACGGGTAGAGAGAGAGCGAGAGAGACGGGTAGAGAGAGAGAGATAAATACAGGTCAAAAGAGACAGGTGGAGAGAAAGACATGTAAAGTGTGTTAAACTTTGTCCTTCTATTTTGTAGTTCTGATATCTAACTCAGTGTTGATGGTAAATGTAGTCCATTCTGACCCACAGAAGAACTACAGGTTGGTATTTAATCTGGATCAGAACCACCTGACATCCCATAATATGAGACTGGAGGATGTTCTGGATGAGGAGTCAGCAGAATACTCATTCACAGAGTGTGTATGTGTGTGTCTGTGTGTGCGTGTGTTTGTGTGTGTCTGTCTGTGTGTGTTTGCGTGTATGTATGTCTGTGTGTGTTTATGTCTGTGTTGATGTGTACATGTGTTTTTGTGTGTTTATGTCTGTGTGTGTGTGTTTTTGTGTGTGTGTGTGTGTCTGTGTGTGTGTTACCTCCAGGTCCTGGTCCAGTTCAGAGATGCTTCGAGATGAAGCTCCTCCAAAATCTGAACCAATAAACACAGATTAAATGACATCACATCTCAGCGATTGTCTCGCACGTCAATATAATATATTATTATCTATACATTATATAATATTATATATATATAATATATAATATTGACGTGCACAAAATACCTGAAAGTTCTGTACAGTCCTGTACAGTTGTGTGTATTTACAGTTGTGTGTGTGTGTACCTGAGGCTGTGCGTGTGATGTGCGTCTTGCTCCTCTGTTGCCGGGAGATACTGGACAGTGGGCGGGGCTTATCTTTAACTGGGTCATCCTGAGAGGAATGCATCACACTCTACACACACACACACACACACACACACACACACACACACACACACACAAATATAAAACAAGAGTTACAGATATAACTAGGGTTCTATGAATCCTGGATGACTGATAGAGCCCGGCCCCAAGGAACCAGAGCCCGGCCCCAAGGAACTCTCAAGTTGTTCAGATGAACTACTAAGGGCTTCTGCAGCAAGGACTCATGGAAGATGTAGTTTCTGGCGTCAGGACATTATAGACTACAGTTCACCACACTGTTACTGATTCAGGACCAGGTGAGTGAAGTCGTGAGCAAAGACAAGAAGCGGCGTGAGAGGACAGGAAGTGGAGTAAAAGGACAGGAAGTGGAATGAAAGGACAGAAAGCGGTGAGAAAAGACAGGATGTTAGAGCCATATTTTTAGTTCAGTGTTCTTTGTTGCCACTGATAAAAATAAAATAATAATATAATCCTGCGGGCTTAATCATATTCTTCTGGGTGAAAGTACAAAAGTTTGCCGCGCTTCTCCTCACACAGCGTTTGCCAACACCTGCGCAAAAAATACATCAAAACGTGCGGCCTGATCGAGAATCGTGTGCTATCGATTTTCTAGAGATTCGCCCAGCGGTTTTCCCGAAAATCTGAGCAAAATTTCTCCATTGACTTGAATGGGGTTCCGGCGTGAAGAGAACTAAAAAACACTTAACTTTGGGCCCATGTTGACTAGCCGTACATTAACGTAGAAACATGATTCAAAGTTTAAAACGTAGACAAAACGCTGCACTTTATTGAGCCAAATGGACACTTTGATAGCTAGCACAGTTTTCATGAAGTCACAGATTAAGTTTCAGGAAAATTTTGGGTCTGTTTCAGATTTCATAATGGGTGTGTATTGCACGGCTCGTTAAGAGCTAGAGTGAGAGCATAACCGTCAGAGTGGAGCGGAGCAGGAAAATCTTCTGTGATTTTTCCGAACAAATTGCTCCAGCTCCCAGTTTTTAATGTTTATACACCATTTTTGGCCCAAAAGCTTGGAAATCTGCTGTCGCACACAACTGTCTATGGAATCCAACAGATTTACACATTTGGCTCAAAGAGCCGCAGAGCGACATGAACTCCAACCAACTGCTCCATTAGACTCCATGTTAAATCTCACCACTCATTTCTCAAAGAAAGCAGACAGTACCAGTTTTGTCTATTGCTCTGGAGCTCACATTATTAACACCACAAACATAAAAAACACATCAGCGCGTTCGACACGGTATCCGTATTTTGGCACTCAGACTCCTGCTTTTTGTTAAAAGGAGTTAGGGGTTTTGTTCAAAATCACTGATTACTGCAACGTTTCTTAATCAGTCTGTGCGTCCTCACCATGGCAACCAGTTACACACACACACACACACACACACACACACACACACCTTGGAGATGTTCAGTCAAAGGCATTGTTAGACCTCCTGTCCGTCTGTCTGTCTCTCAAACATTATGATTATGTCTCCTCTCCTCTCTCGCACACCAAGTCCCACCCTTTCAAAATAAAAGCCCCATGGATTAACTTTATCTTTACATGAAGCTCAGAATGAGGTTCATGTAAAGAAATGTTAAGTTCAAGTTTTTCCATCACAAATACAGAATGTAATTTCCAAAAGCTTCTCAAACAAAGATGAATATGTTCAGTACAGAACAGGATGTTCAGTCCAAGAGTATAAATCTAAAATGCAGAAAAGAGAGAAGCGATATCTCAATCGAACCTCAACGACACTACCGGTAACACTGGCGTGTGTATATATTGTGACGTCTTCGGGCAGTAGAAGCCACAATGTCAACATTTATTGCGGAATTCTTTTGTTTTGATTACAAATCATAATTTCTAATTTTGCTAATATATTTGTATGATCTAAACACATTCCTTTGATTTATGAATGGAAGTTAAATTCGTATTCTGAATAATAATTTTTCTTTGGGAAGTTTTGTTATTAATGAGGATCAGCTGGGATAAGAGGAAGAGGTGGGACTGAGTCTCGGGTTGTCTTTCCTCGGTGTAGAACGGGGCATCGGCAGTCTTTGACCTTACTTTAGACCGATTATATGTTGCTGTTAATAAGTTTGTTGAAAATGAAAATAAATCAATCAAATAACAGCAATGGAATCAGCGTCTGCAGATTCATCATTTGGACGAGTCGAGAAACGGAGTATAGAAGAACAAAGAACAGGCCGCCACACGGGAGACCACTGTAGACCAGGCAGGAGACAAGTGGTGAAGTGAAGGAAAGGAGAGGAGAGGTAGAGCAGGGGTGAGGGAGACAGAGAGAAGCTGGCCTACCATTCCCAGAGAGGAGGTTGAGGGAGAGGAGGAGGAGGAGGAGGAAGGCTGCAGGAGGCTCTGCTGGGAGGAAGAAGAAGAGGCGTCTTTCTGCAAGAAGGCGCCGGCCGACGCCGACGTCATGTGATAGACATGCTCAAAGTTGGAGGGGGGAGAGATGAGGGAGTGACGGAAGGAGGAGGGGGATGGAGAGGGGGAGAGGACATCACCAACCTGAAGATCAGGGGGGAGGAGGAAGGTGAGACAGGGGGAGGAGAGAAGAGAGGAGTCAGTGTGATGGACAGAGCTGTCAGAGGGGAGAGGAGGTGAGGGAGAACATGCCGGCAGGAGGAGACGGTGGAGCAGGGAGGAGGAGTTACCAGAGGGAGGTCCATGAGGACCTGCATGCCGTCTCCTGGTCCCATGTGGGCCACGTGGTTAAAGTTTGTGGGATTAGAAATCATCTTTGATCTGAGCTCCGGATCCCTGAGCATCTCCCTAAAACAACACACACAATAACACACATTAATACACATTTATTACACACAATAATTAATACACATGAATGAAAGAGTCACCTCCTCTGCTGAAGCCGCTCCTCCTCTGGAACCTTAAACAGGAACTTCCTCTTGCTGCGAGTTCGAACCATTAACTTCCTGCTCTGGTCCGAGGTCTCCGGGATGGTAAGATCTCCCTCTGAGGACAGACAGGTAGAGATGGGTGAGCTTCAGGACCCTGAAGTAGTGAGACAGGTCCAGGTGAGTCCTTACCTGACGAGGAGTTGCTGAAGTAGATCAGACGAGGAGGTTCTGAGCTCAGCAGGTTTAAGGTTCCTTCAACATTCAGAGGGCGGATCTGAGGACAGAGACTGTGATGTCATTGACTGCTGCTACACTGCGATTGGCCGGTTCCCAGCAGTGCCGAGCTGTGATTGGTTACCTTGCGGAGGGAGATGGTCTGGACCCACTCTGCAGTGTGAATATCGAAGACGTCGAGTCCGTATTCACTGTAGACCGTCAGGTGGGAGGAGTTGGAGCCTGGAGAGACAGACAGGTGTTGATGAATACCTAGAACCTGGTTCCACATCTGGTGACGGTCTATGAACTGGTGTAAGTAACGTACTGCATGCCAGCGGCGTGGCGGGCCACATCAGCTCCTGGGTTCTGGACCGGCGGCCCTGTCCGTCCACATAGATGCCGAGCTGGCTGAAGCAGAGCAGCGACTCGGTGGATCCAACCTCCAGGGCGTGCAGGGCGTCCAGCGGCTGCTGGGCCAGGAAGGCCAGCGACGGGTCGGCCGGGCTCACCAAGCTGATGGGGGACGACTCCCCCTGCAGGGCCAGCAGAGCGAAGCCCGAAGGATAACCGACGCACAGCCGCTCCCTCACCATGCCCAACCACTGCACCGTGCCCGGAGCCTGCAACTCCCACAGCTTCTTATGGTGGGGCTTCGCCCGGGTGATCTCGTAGCACAGAACCTGGAGGATCAGAACCACAACGTTAGAACAGGAGCAGAACCATAGCTAGGTGGTTTTCACCGTCCTGGTCCCGTCCTCCAGAATCCTGACCTGACGTTTGACGGCAGCCAGCAGGCAGGCGGGGCCTCCGGGTCGGAGCACCCCAGTGGTCAGAGCCTGGCAGCCTTTGGTCTCCGTCAGCTTGATGTCGAAGGCTCCCTCGGCTCCCTCCAGCACCCCCCAGTGGTGGAGGTGAACGTGACGATTCCGACCACAGAGCAGAGCGACGATCTTCTCCTTCGGGATCAGATCGATCTGATAAACCTTCTTACTGTCTGCTGCTCGCACGATCACTGGAGGGAGAGTGAGAGAGAGAGACAGACAGCGAGAGGTGAGACATGAATCGATTATCAACAGTCCAAATGTCCGTCTGTCCACCTGTCTCACCGTCTCTGGTGACCTCCACCACAAACAGTCCGTCTTCGGTTCCCAGAGCGATCCTCTCCCGGTCTGTAGGGACAGGAAACATGGATTCATCAGTACTAGTACTCAGTACACAGTGTGCCAGTAGTAGTATCAGTTGTAGGAGTAGTCGCTGACCGAGCACAGCAGCAGACAGCGTGGTCTTGATGAGGGGCAGCGAGGCGTCGTAGGCCTCATGCAGGACGTGGACCTGTTGGTTCTTCAGGAGGTTCTTGGTCAGGATGCTCTGCAGACCCTCCAGGATCCGGACCCACTTCCTCTTTTCCACCTCACTCTCCGCCAGCACCAGCAGAGACAGTGCCGACAGCTGAGAGATCAGCTGTGACGACGTCACCTGATCGTGGCAAAAACAAAGGATAGGGGTCACATGGAGGTCAGAGGTCAAACAGCGAGAGGTCACAGGAGATCTACCTACCCTGAAGATGCAGGGGATGTCCTTCCTGGTGGCGTGGATCACATCAGACGCCAAGACGGAGCTGACGGAAAACTCCTCGTCTCTGGAACACACGAGAACAAGTTAAAGGATTATCTGGGCAACTGTGGCTAAGTGGGTAGCAGGGCCGTCCTTCAATCAGAGGATCGGTGGTTCGATCCCCGGCTCTGGCTCGCATGTCGATGTGTCCTTGAGCAAGACACTTAACCCCAAAATTGATCCCATTGCTCCCTACGGTGTAGAAATGTGATTGAATCTGAATTGTAAGTCCCTTTGGATAAAAGCATCTGCTAACTGACTGTAATGTAATGTAATCTTATCTTAATATCAATAAACCAGAATGATCAAATCTAACCCTAAACCTTCTGTAGACTACAGAGTGCTGACAGTCACCTGAGATCCAGCACCAGACTGGCCCCCACCCCCGGCTGGGTGGACTTCCCCTCTGGGACATCGTAGAGGAACAGTTTACAGTCGGAGACCAAAGCGAAGGCTCGCTGCCAGCCCTTCTTCACGCCGCTGGGCTTTGGGATCTGAAAGAAAGACGGCAGCAGTTACCCTGACGTAGCCTTTGTAGGCGGTGCCCATACCTCATGACCTCATCCCTTACCTTGACGTAGCCTTTGTAGGCAGTGCCCATACCTCATGACCTCATCCCTTACCTTGACGTAGCCTTTGTAGGCAGTGCCCATACCTCATGACCTCATCTCTTACCCTGACGTAGCCTTTGTAGGCAGTGCCCATACCTCATGACCTCATCTCTTACCCTGACGTAGCCTTTGTAGGCAGTGCAAATACCTCATGACCTCATCTCTTACCCTGATGTAGTCTTTGTAGGCGGTGCCGATGCCTCATGACCTCATCACTTACCCTGACGTAGCCTTTATAGGCGGTGCCGATGCCTCTCTGGACGTCGATGCCCTGCGGCCTCTTGGCGTGCTCTGCTGGGATTGGACAGACCAGGGGGGCGTGGTCTTTACAGGAAACATGGCAGATGAAGGAGCACACTGAGGAGAGACAGACAGAGTCAGGACCTTTGTGTTGACTAGTCTGGAACAAATAACTATATCTTATCAGCCTTTCAGGACCCGTTGCCGTCTAACCAGGAAACAAACAGTCTGACAACATTACATTACAGTCATTTAGCAGACAATTCAGATTCTATCACACCGTAGGCACAGCTACGTGAGCAATTTTTGGGGTTAAGTGTCTTGCTCAAGGACACATCGACATGCGACTAGCGGAGCCGGAGATCGAACAGCCGATCCTCTGATTGAAGGACGGCCCTGCTCTCCACTTAGCCACGGTCGCCCAACATTTCAGTTGGATCTGGTCTACCTGCTAGGAGGAGTACATCGGTGTATAAAGCATGTAGTTTCCTGTTGCCAGTAGCTGGCGCTATGAATATGGGTCAATGTTGGAGTGGAGATGTCTTCAGGACATGACTCTGATCCATGTTACGGCAACATGGTTCTAAGAAGACTGAAAAGCTTCACAGTTTAGCATCACAAAGGTCTTAAGACTGTGCTGACCAAAGTCGATCCGGTGAAATCTGTAGCAGGAGTTAATTAAAGTGCCTGGAAATGGCCCAAAACATCACATTCAATTCAAAATGGCCGACTTCCTGTTGGGTTTTATGTTTTACCTCCAGAGGCTTTTTTGGGCATCTCCACATGTTATGTCGACCAAATTTCATACATCTAGGTGCAACACCCATGATTAAAACCCATAAAACATAAATCTTCACTACTTCTGTTACAAAGTGTTTTACGCTTTTGAGCTCCTTTAGCCGCTCAAACATGAGATTCACTAGAAGAAGAATTATGAACAGAGATTCCAATGGTAACATTAGCGGGAACCAGGGGCGTCGTTAGGCCTATTTTAGCTTGGTTTCTAGGTTTTATTTTGGCTTCTGGTTTGTATGTTTTCTCCCCCTTCAAATTACAATCCAATAGCCTATCATCATACTTAACGATATAAACCCCGGGCACTAGGACCTTGGGGACGCTGCTGCGCTGGCTTTCTCACTCTGCCAAGTAACGTCTCTCGTCAACGACAGCCAGGATTATAGCCAAGGAGTTTAGCTCAAAGTAAATGATGCCGGAGTGAAATTGTAAGTACAGGTAGTTACAGAATGAATCTGTAGTTGTTAACGATTGTTACCTGCTTAAATTTAGGTTTACTTGAGGCAAATTAAAGGGAATATTGTAGTGGGCTATGTTAACACTAAGCTAGCCAGCTAGCTAGCTATTTTGTTAGAAGCTGTCTCCAGTGAGCAAGAGTGTGAACGAGCGAATTCTAAATACAATAAATAACTATCGACATCTCTCTATTCTTTGCATTAATATATCTCTCTAGTATTTCGAAACAATAATATCAGTCCCTATAGAACGTTGTTGTTTATAATCAGTTAATGCTAGTGAACACTAAATGTCATAGTGTCCCTCATAACGCTATTGTACCGCTACATCATCCAATTCATTGACCAGATATAAGAAGATTCCTTCCATTTCAGCCCATCATACAATATTTATCATTCGATAATTAAGATGTGTTTTTTTATTTTTGTTATTCATGTTTTTTTTCCATTGAATGGTATATTAGACACTGAACTAGTTCATCTTTATCTCAGTGATAGTGTCCAAATGAGCATAAAATATCACTGGTATGTAAAAACTACACGGACAACAATATAGATGTAAATGTTAATGTAAGAAGGTGTTGTGTACCTTCACAGGCGTATCCCTGTCTGAGGAGTCCCACCATCAGTGAGGTGCAGTGTGTGCACTGAGTCGGACTGGAGAAGGTCTTGATGCTCAGCTGGTGAGCTTTGGGCTGTGAACACACCACACAAACATGATCAATATGACCTACAGGTGACATCTCACCTGGGGAAACAGTAGCGTACCTTTAGTGTGGTCAGTGCTGAGCTCTGGTAGGTGGGGGAGGGGCTCGCTGGGACTGACGCAGCTTTAACTTCCTGTTGAAACAAACGGGACAAGACTCAGGTAAGGACAGGTAAAGGATCAGTCACGATTCTCTGAGTCCACAATTCAACTTCACCATTCGATTTCCAATTGAAACTTGTTTTTCTGGCCTGTCATTTACATTTTGAAATACCTGTATAACAGAAGCTACGAGGTACCAGATTTTTGTTGAAGAGAAAAAATACTTGTGAGAAAAGACCATCCTGCTTTGATTCATAATTATTACATACGTGGAGGATCCGTGTTTGTGACTGACCTCGTGTTCGGAGGTGGTGGAGGGTGAAGGGGGTGTGGTCTCTGACTTCAGGGGGGTGGAGTCTATGTCTGCGGTCTGCAACGTCAAAAACAGGAAACATTGAACATCACTGTTGACACACTTCAACATGTATGAAAACCTCTCAGTCCAACTGTGTTTCTACTGATGACTGAGTTTATTAAGTAAACACTGAGTTCTCCTGAAATTACAGCTCAGTATTAAATCATTGTGAAGGAAAGGTTATAGTTCATTGCAAACATTATTTATACATCACATTTATATCCGGCTCAGTGAAACATGGACGTACAGACAACTATCACTGGATTACTGTGATACTGATTAGACGTTTATTGTGGATGGACCTCAGTGATAATATGAATATGTTTCATGTTTCACTGATTCATGAACTAGAGAAAGAGGGAGAGTTTTTACTCCGATTCCCTTCCTGCAGTAGCTCTGTGGCGCCCCCCTGTGGAGGCTTCTGTCTGTTACAGACCAGAGCCACAGGATGCTTATTTATTCATTGAAATAAATAGATGTGACCTGGTAGTTTCACTGAAGAAGACCATGGGATTTGGTCAAAAGATCTACAAGTAGCAAACAAGCTAATATTTCACCAGATAGCAGTAAAATGTAGCTACAATCTTCAGTGATGGGATCCTTTAGTGTCTGCTGATTGGCTGAACAACCCGCTGATGTTCCTGAGAGCCAATCAAGTGAAAGGTGGCTAAACAGGTGTGAGGTCATTGGGGTTAAAGGAGTCTAGCTACTATTAGCACAAAGCTAGCAGCAACAACTGAGGTTAGATCTGACAGCTAGCTGCCCCGGAGGATTGTGGGTAAGGGTATCGGTATGCAGGGGATTGTGGGTAACATGGCAGATGAACTTACGTCTTCCCAGAGAGCGAGCAGCGAGGAGGAGGAGCAAACTGACGCCTCCATGTTGCAGAGAGAAACAAACAGCTTCAGAGACTACACCTGAGTGACATCATCATCATCATGTGACATCATCATCATCACGTGACATCACGTGACCTGCTGCTTGGTGAGTTCCGGGGTTAAATACCAGGTACTCTTCATATGTTCCCGTTATAAGCGTTGTAATATTGTTACTAGGGGGAGGAATATTCAGAGAAAAATATCTCTGAATTTACTAAATTAATGTCGTAACTTTACAGGAAAAAAACTTGAATATTCTCTGAGATTAAACTCACAAAATAATTCAGAAAATAGTTGTAAAAATAGTTTTTTTTCCACTCACTTTGATCAACCTCATCACAACACTGGTAACTGTAATTCTAACAGTATTTACTTTTGTTCATAACATGAAAGAGAAAGTGTTTATGTATCTCTGATTATTACCCCCCCGCCCATCAGGATGTGATTCACAGGTAGTAAAGTCAACAACAACAACAAGAGATGTTTCACATCCTGTTTGTCTTGTGACACCTTTAAACTAATTATCCTAGCAACAGCTGGTCCCAGGTTTAATCATCACGTGACCCCTTTTGGAGGCCCTGGGCCTCAGGTTGAGAACCACTGTATTAAGAGGTCACAAGGAAAAGAGGCTTGAGACAACCGAGCAGACAGACGGGTGAGACAGACAGGTGACTCACTCTGAAGCTGAGGTCAGGAGCCAAAGGAGACGTGTTGAAATATTCAAATATGGAGTCCTGGAAGTCTGGAAGCTTCAGACCTGCAAAGAACCAGATTAGAGGCAAACACCTGAATGAGGTCATTTGGTTAGTTTTACCTGAGGGACCACGTACAGGACCATGAACTGAACCCTGAGGGACTCCAGGTGGTCTCACCTTTGTCAGAGCGGGAGCGGCTGTCCTCCATGTCTTTCTTCAGACTCTCCACCTGCTCCCCCATCTCCCGACTCCTCTCCTCCGACTCCTTCAGCTTACTGCAGACAGACAGACGGACAGACAGGTGAGGAGACAGGCAGGTGAGGAAGGAGAAGCTGTTGTTCTCTGTGTGACCTCTGACCTCTCCAGGTTGATGTTGGCAGCTTTGACTTTGCGCAGCTCCTCCTGAACCAGCTGCTTGGCTCTGATCTCTGCATCCAGAGCCGACTGGAGCTCCAGACGAGCCGACATGTCCAACTTCTGACTGCGACGCACCTTCCACAGGGGGTCCTACGAGAGGGGGGGGGGGGGGGGACAGTCAGTGGTACTGATGGAGAACATCTACAGAGCCCAGCAGATTTTTATTTGGATTTTATGTAATAGACCAACACTAAAAAGACAAAGATGGTAAAGTGAAATGAAAAAACAACAACACAGTGCTACTCCTGACCCAGGGACCCCCTGACCCAGGGACCCGTGAGACAGCAAGCTGAAAACTTTTGTGAAAGAATTCCAGGCTCTCCGGGTTTGAAAGGTGCGTGAGATTTGTGGTGTTGCTACTGGTTCCAGAACTGGTTCTGTATGTATGTGTGTGTGTGTTACCAGAGGTCTTGTTCCTAGACTGGAGCTGCGCAGTGTTTCCAGCTCCTCCGTCATCTTGGTAGCCAGAGCCTGAAGGTAGCCTCGAGCATCCTTCTCATCGCTCACCCTGAACACACAGACACATGTTAGTAACACAGAGCACCTCCTCCTGGTCCACCAGACACACATGTTAGTAACACCGAGCACCTCCTCCTGGTCGGACTCACCACTGGATGATCTCTGCAATCTGAGCCTCCCAGTGAGCCACGCTCTCTTTCTTAGACGACAGGTCCTGCAGGTCGTCCTCCAGCTGACGGTTCTGAGCCGTCAGTTGATCCACAAATGAACACAGCTAAGAGAAAAGTAGTGTTACTAACTGATCATGTGCAGTCACTATATTTGATATATTTAATTAATGGACTACTTTAAGTCAGGACTACCGTACGTCAAGACTACGGCCTTTCAAGACGACTGCACTTCAGGACTACTGTACTTCAAGACTTCGGGAACTGTACTTCAGTACTTGATGACTACAATACTTGACTTCAATACATCAGTACTTCAGTACTTGAGGACTACAATACTTGACTTCAATACGTCAGAACTTGAGGACTACAATACTTCACCTTGTCAGTTTCAGCCGTAAGTTTGCGGTTTTCTTCTGTCAGAAGGTTTTTCTCTCGTTCAGATTTCTCCTTCAGAGCTGAAACAGCTTCATCCATCTCTGCTTGTCTGCAGGAACAAAACAAAACCTGTGTCAGGACTCACCTGACCCTCATGCTGACCTGGTTCAGGACCCCCCTTGCTGACCTGGTTCAAGACTCACCTGCCTCCCTTGCTGACTTGGTTCAGGACTCACCTGACCCTCTTGCTGATCTGGTTTAGGACTCACCTGACCCTCTTGCTGACCTGGTTCAGGACTCACCTGCCCCTCTTTCTGACCTGGTTCAGGACTCACCTGCCCCTCTTTCTGACCTAGTTTAGGACTGAACTGTGTCTCAAGACTCACTTGCCTCTTTTCCTGACCTGGTTCAGGACTCACATGCAACTCTTTCTGACCTGGTTCAGGACTCACCTGCCCCTCTTGCTGACCTGGTTCAGGACTCACCTGTCCCTCTTGGCCTTGTCCAGCTTGTCTCGTAGCTGCAGCAGCTCCTTGTTGGCGGCGAGCTGCGCCCCCTCGGACTCGTGCAGGTCTTTACGGAGGTTTTTGATCTCGGAGGAGTGGGAGGAGTCTCTCCTCAGCAGCTCCTCCTCGTAGAACAGGATCTTCGTATCGAGATCTGCCTTCAGACGGGACAGCTCCTGCTGAAACTCCGCCCCCCCGGCTACTGCCCCTCGACCCTGCTGAGACTGAGACCAGATCCAGGACCACAATCACTCACTTCTGTTAATTTAGTAAGAACCAGTTTGAGTTTTAGAGTGTCACCATTCATTAATTGATTGATTGATTGATTGATTGATTGATTGTGTGAGGGTCAAAGAGGGTCCTCACAAGTGCAGAAGTACAAACATGCTTGTGTGTGTGTGAGACCTCTGACCTTCAGCTTCTGCAGCTCTGTCTCCAGCTGTTTGGAGTAAACCTCACTGTGCTCCCTCAGCTTCCTCTCCTTCTGCGCCTCCGCCTTCGCATCGTCCAGCTGAGCCTCCAGCTGACAAACACATACAATGCTTTTATTGTAAAGGAGAGGAAGTGACTGATGGTGAGAAGTCCCCCGGGGGTCATGGGGCTTAAATCTTTCTCTCACCTCCTTGCGGTTCTTCTCTGTCTTGCGGATCTCCTGTCTCATGGCGTCCATCTTCTGCAGGAGGGCGTCCATCTCCTCCTCTTTGTCCCTGAGCTGACGGGACAGACGCTGTTTGGAGGACCGCAGGTCGGCCATCCTCTCCGACAGGTCTGAGAACTCCTGCAGGGCCAACTTCCTCTGAGAGTGAGCCTCCTTCAGCTCCTTCGTCTGACTCCTCAGACGCTCCAGAGAATCCGCCAGCTGCTGCTCACAGGAGGAGACCAGGTGTGGTTCAGGACACAGCTGATACTGGACTAGTCACATTCAGGTGGGGGGGTCATGTTCAAAACCAGAGACCACTTCCAGGAATGAGCTCGACCAAATCACCATATAATATATATACAATGTAGTTTGTTGAACCTGATCCTAATGGACCTGAGGATACTTAGACCTGATCCTAATAGACTTGAGGATACTTAGACCTGATCCTAATAGACTTGAGGATACTTAGACCTGATCCTAATAGACTTGAGGATACTTGACCCTGATCCTAATAGACCTGATGGTACTTAGACCTGATCCTAATAGACTTGAGGATACTTGACCCTGATCCTAATAGACCTGAGGATACTTAGACCTGATCCTAATAGACTTGAGGATATTTGGACCGGATCCTAATGGACCTGAGAATATTTGGACCAGATCCTAATGGACCTGAGGATACTTAGATCTGATCCTAATGGACCCGAGAGTACTTACACTTGATCCTAAAGGGCCTGAGGATACTTGGACCTGATCCTAAAGGGCCTGAGGATATTTGGACCTGATCCTAAAGGGCCTGAGGATACTTAGACCTGATCTTAGCTGAGCCACTTATATGTACTTGGGTAGACCAGAGAACAGTATCAGTGATGAGAACTACCTTGTGGACTTCTTCTTTCTCCTGTCTCAGGGTCTTCACCTGCCTCTCCAGGGTCTTCAGTTTGGAGGCGGAGCTCTCGTAGTCCTGTCTGAGTGTGACCGCCTCCTCCAGCTGGTGCTCCAGCCTATCAGAGTCTACCACAGAAGAGGGGCGGGGCTTACTCACCTGATGGATATTGATGCTGAACATGACCAAAGATTGAATCTGAAGTCATTAATACTGCTGCTACTAGTACTGCTGCTCCTAATACTACCACCACCACTCTGACCTGCCAGCTTCTTCTTCAGCCGTTCAATCTCCTCGTTGAGCTTCTTGATCTCTTTGTCTCGGGTCAGAGTTCCTCCTCGAGTTGGAGCCTGGAGGGCCTGAGTGGACTCTGCAGATACAGAGGTCCGAGGTCAGGAGTACTACATCCAATAAATACTTCAGTCCTGCACACTTTAAACACACATCTGTCTCACCCTGCAGTTTGCGGTTCAGCTCCTGTTTCTCCTGCTCCAGTCGGCGGATCCTCCTCTCAAAGGCCTCGACCTCCTGACCACCTCCTCCTCCTCCTCCCACCTCCTCCTGACGGAGGCCAAGTCCCGTCTGGCTGACGGAGCTGCGGTCAGCAAAGCAGCTGTCGGTGGTGTAAGTGAAGCCGACGAAGGGGAGGTGCTGACCAGTGAAACCAGTGTGAGACATGGGAGGGGTGATGTCCTGCAGGAGAAACACTGTTAGACTGGACCACCTTTATATTCTGGAGTGTGCATGAGAACGTTGACAGGTCTTTACCGGTCTTTAAGGGTCTTTAATGTGGACCGGACCACAATGACTAGAGGAAGGACCTTAAAGACTAGGGACTGGACCTGAACGACTAGAGGCAAGGTCTGAAAGACTAGAGGCAGGACCTGAGAGACTAGAGGCAGGATCTTAAAGACTAGAGACCTTAAAGACTAGAGGCAGGACCTTAAAGACTAGAGACCTTAAAGACTACAGGCAGGACCTGAGAGACTAGAGGCAGGGCCTTAAAGGACAAGAGACAGGACCTGAATGACTAGCGACCTGAATGACTAGACTCTGATGGGTTAATAAGCAGAACACCTGTACAACGTGACTACTTTTCGTCCTCACCGGGTTCTTGAGGACGTCGTCGTCCACGTCGAAGTTGGAGGTGTCGGTGGGCGAGGACACGTCGGGGATGTACGGGGCCTCGGCCGACCGGATGTTGTCCCAATCGATCCCGCTGAAGAATGGGTGGCTCTTGAAGTCGGAGATCCCGTTGGCGCCGAGTCGGTGTTCCCTGGAGCACAGCAGGCTCTGGATCAGGTCCTTGGCGTCCTCGGACACGTCGGCCACGTGAGACGGGAACTGGAAACGCTCCTGGAGACAAAGAGGGAAGTAAAGAGGACAGAAATGGAGACTAGTCCACTGAGACCAGTCCAGATTTAGAAGACAGGAAGTAGGACGAGAGCCAAGAGACAGACGACCTGGAAACGGCTCAGATTCAGTATTCTGGCTCATTGTTGGTCAGAGAAATCCTGAAAGAACTTCATCAGACCAAAGTCTCACAGCTTTTCTTATTTTGACTTAATTTAGAGTTAGTTTGACGTGAATCCACAGACTGAACTCTGACCTCGTGGTTCATGATCTTGCCGTAGGTTTCCACGAGAGACTCGGCGTAGAACGGCGTTTCCCCGTAGAGCATCTCGTACATGCAGACTCCCAGAGACCACCAGTCACACTCCGGTCCGTAGCGGCCCATCCCGTCCTCCATCGCCTGCAGGATCTCTGGGGAGATGTAGTCTGGGGTCCCCACGGCCACAGAAGACTGCACCTGCACCGCAACCAGGGACACAGAGTCCTTAAGTCTGTCCCTGGAGGACTAAAGTCAACGTAATAACGAGAGTGTTGGTGTGTTACCGTGCCGTCCTCCATCATCCGGAGACAAGACCCGAAGTCAGCGAGGCGGATGTGACCGTTAACATCCAGCAGGACGTTGTCTGGTTTAATGTCTCTGTGACATTAAGTGACCATTAAAACAGATTAAATAACCATTAAAACACCTTCAGCCTCCACATTCCCCCAGTGATCCCAGTAGAACCAGTACCTGTGGATGTAGTGCTGCTGGTGGATGGAGTGGACGGCGAGTACCATCTCAGCCACATAGAACTTGGACATGTCCTCTGGAAGACGATCTTCAAACTTACTGAGCAGAGTCAGCAGGTCCCCGCCCACGTAGTAATCCATCACCAGGTACTACCAGGAGACAACAGATCAATACCAACCAATAACAACTCAGTGATCATTTATACTCAGTTATAGAGCGACTGTGGCCAAGTGGAGAGCAGGGCCGTCCTTCAATCAGAGGATCGGCGGTTTGATCCCCGGCTCCGCTAGTCACAGGTCGATGTTTCTTGAGCAAGACACTTAACCCCAAAATTGCTCCCGTAGCTGTGCCTACGGTGTAGAATGTAGGGCTGCAACTAACGATTATTTTAATAATCGATTAATCGGATATTAATGGGCCAAAAAAGGCGAGTGAATAAAAACGTGTCTTTGGTCTTGCAAACTATACCAACCCTGCTTTACTACTGTTATTAACGAGCTAACACTAACTTGTCAAGCTGGATAATGAGCAAACACCAGCACCAGAAGAGCTACTGGAGGGACGTTACGTTCCTCACTTCAAAACGGAACAAAAGTAGGATTCTGTAGTGACTTACCCTGCTGTTGAACATCCTTCCTCCTCATCAAGGACTCCAACATGTTTACGTTTTAGGTGCTGAATCATCACCGTGGTGCTCCCGTGCCATGCCATGTCGCTTTTGCATATCTTGCAATTAACACACTTTTTCGATTTATTTAGTGTGAAATGCTCCCACACCTTGGATGACTTCACCCCAGCGCGATAGCCTATCAGCGTTGAGATGTTTCTCCTGTCGTCACTGACTGCCGTTGTTGAATCAGGAAATAAATACTGTAGCCGTCTTTGTTTACCCAGAGCTCTACGATACCTCATATCAATAGAGACCGGACCAAACTATGTGTATACATGTGTGTGTGTAAACCATATGGTACAAACAATGAATAGACGCTGCCGTATTTATGTCTACATGACGTTATTCTGAGTGTTGGTGGAGCTGCTACAATGTTAGCATAGCATAGCACCGATCCATCCGAGCTCCATTGAGAAGACAAGTAGCCTACAAATCGGCATCATCACGTAGTTATTTCGGAGTCCCTTTTTGTCGGTTTCTTGCCGTTAAATCACAGCCAAATCAGTTTATTTAGTGTTCATACAGCTGTAGTAAACAGCGACGTGTGGCTTGATAGACAGTGAATACACTTCGATAAAATCAACAGAGCTCCTCTGGACAATGTTATGAACCAGACATGACGGCGTTTAGTTTCCCGGGATATCTGGGAGTTTTTTATACTCAAACATCTCCGCGACTTATTGAGTGGTGTAATAATCGCGCGACACAACGAATCGATAATGAAATCCGTTGCCAACTCTTTTAATAATCGAAGTTTATCGATTCGTTGTTGCAGCCCTAGTAGAATGTGATAGATACTGAATTGTAAGTCACTTTGGATAAAAGCGACTGCTAAATGACTAATGTAATAATCACCAATCAATCAATCACAGAGCGTACCCCTAACCTAGTAGTAGTACCAGTAGTACCAGCAGCAGTAGTACCGGTAGTACCAGCAGCAGTAGTACCGGTAGTACCTGCAGCAGTAGCACCGGTAGTACCAGCACCAGTAGTACCGGTAGTACCAGCAGCAGTAGCACCAGTACTGACCAGGTAGTTGTCGTCCTGGAAGGCGTAGTGCAGCGTTGTGATCCACTGACTGTCTCCTTTCACTAGAACGTCCCGTTCTTCTCTGAAACACGCCGTCTGAACACAGAACATGTTTACATGTTAAATACAACACGCTAACATCCAGAAAACTATCACATGTTAACATCATGACATCATCCACGTTAGGTCGAACACGCCTGGACCAGAACTGGACTGAAGATGGAACCAAGCTCTAAACTCACCTGCATATGTAGAATAGAACGCGGGGGAACGTCTGCCATGCGCGGGGGAACGTCTGCCATGCGCGGGGGACCAGATGCCGGGAACGGGGGAACGTCCGTCATGCGCGGGGGAACGGATGCAATGTGCGGGGGAACGGATGCAATGCGCGGGGGAACGTCCGTCATGCGCGGGGGGGGGGGGGGGGGGGGGGGGGGGACGGCCGTCATGTGTGGGGGGGACATCCGTCATGCGCGGGGGACGGATGCCATGTGTGGAGAACCAATAATTGTGATCAATAACTCACCTCCGCTCTCTTTAACATCTCCCACTTATTGAGGATCTTCATGGCGTAAACTCTCTCTGTGTGCTTCATCTTCACCACAGCAACCTGAGAGAGACATTCAGGTTCAGGGAAACGTTACAGACGTTGTTTTTCTTCTCGTTGACATGAAGTCTGTTCAAACAGGTTATTAAACTCTGAGTCAGACTTTACCTCAGAGCCACGCCTGTACCACACACAGACACACACACAGCTGTCTATAGAGACCTCTCTGTGTGTGTTTATATACTGAGGCAGCAGGAGGGTGTGGCTTCGACACACCTTTACCTCTGGTATGTGGACAATGGGCGCGCACACACACACACACACAGAGTTTTTTATGAGATTATGGAATATTTTCTGAACTTTTCTTCTGGAATTGATGCATTTTCAGTCACAATATCAAACGGAGAAGGGGGAAGAGGAAAAGGAAGAGGAGGAGAAGGAGTGATGAGGAGTTAAGAAGAGGAGAAAGAGGAGAAGGAGGAAGAGGAGGAGAGATGAGGAGTTAAGAAGAGGAAAGGCTGTAAAGAAGATGGAGGGTCTTTTTCATTTCCTAATGTTGTGCCTCCTGGCTTCTGTTCTTTGCGTCTTAGTCCCTCCCACTATGAGAACAGAGGAGAGAGGAGACGAGGAGGAAACATGCCTTGAACAAACAGGAAGTCATACCTCTCCAAAAGCTCCTCGTCCAATCACCTTCAGCATCTCAAAGTCATCTCTGTGCAGCCGCATGTCCTTCACTGTGGTGGTGAACGGCCTCACTGAGGGCAGAGACCACACACTGTTATTACACTGTTAATACACTGGTATTACTCATATTAATCGTATTACACGGGTAATACACTGGTATTATTACTCATATGAATATATATTATTACACGTTATTACACTGTTATTGTTATTATATTGTCGTTATTATATTATTACACTGTTATTATACTGTTATTACACTATTATACGCATATTAATAGTATTATTACACTCATTAATAGTACTATTACAATGATATACTATTACACACAAACAGAAATGAATGAAGATGTAATGAAGCTTAATCTGTAGTTGATAAGTGTAACAGACAGAGGACAATGATGATGATGACGATCATAGAAACTAAATCTCTCACAGTGACATCATTGAGGGTCACCCGAGGGTCCTGGGACAGAGGATGTCACATGTGTACAGATTGTAAAGCCCTCTGAGGCAAATTTGTGATTTTGGGCTGTACAAAATTAATTTAATTTAATTGAATTATTGGGCCTCACCATGTGCCTATTTGAACAAAGATAAAAACTCGGGCCTGCTTGTTCAGCCAAAAGCCTGATTTGAGTTGAAGACTTCTATGCCGCGTTCTCTCCCCGTTAACGTTAACTTTGTGCCGGTTATAAGAAAGAAGAATAGTTTATCTGCTGACTAGAAGGACCACGTCGACCATTAAGAAGTCATCTCACAGTAAGAGGTTTAGGTTGGTGTCTGGGCAGACTGAGGTCATTGTGTGTTTATTACCTTGTTACTGTGTTGTTATAACGTGTTGTGTTCATGCTCTGACAGCTGAATCCTGTTATACTGTGTATTGAATACTGGTACAACCGTGGTGAGATACATCAGTCACTGCTAGTGGAGCTGGAGATTCCATCGGAACATGAAGACCCCCCCAACCCCCCGTGAAAACCACCTAAACCTCCACGAAGTCCACCCGACCCTCCTTGAAGTCCACCCGACCAGCCACGAAGTCCACCTAAACCTCCATGAAGTCCACTCGACCCTCCATGAAGACCACCTGACCATCCACGAAGTCCACCTGACCCTCCATGAAGTCCACCTGACCCTCCATGAAGTGTCCACCTATTCCTCCATGAAGACTACCTGACCCCCCATGAAGACTACCTGTCCCCCCATGAAGACTACCTGTCCCCCTCTGAGTGGACCCCTGTGTCCCCGGGGAGAACCTGGCGGCCCCTTGGTGACCGCTAAAGGGTCCCGGGACCTTGTGTGTGTTTTAACTGTTCTATAGAATAAGACTCGCCCAGGATCAGGATCAGGTTTCGGGACCTACCCCACTCCAGGAAGTCCGTGATGTGCTTCTCCCTCTTCAGTGGTGAGTGAGAGACCTCCGTGTAGAAGCAGAGCAGCAGGTCGAGCAGCGCCTCCACGCTCAGAGAACTGGCCGCCTTCTGCTCCAGCAGCAACTCCTCCAGACGCTTCAGACGGACCTGAGCCGACATCCTGGACCTGGACCCCCGGGACCGTTCTTCTCCAATGAGTAACCGACACTCAGTCCGATGAGTAACCGACACTAACCGAGCCCGACCCGCCTCTCGAGGCTCTTCGGCTCCGCTTCCGGTCGAGCTCCGCCTGCTAGCTGCAGCTAGCTCGTTAGCTCCGGGAAAACGTTCCCGACCATTTTGTTCCGTCCTTGTGTGTCGGTGAGTCGGTTGAGTCTCCCCCGGTTTAACCGTCGAGTCCTTTCGCGTTAGCGGCTCGTTGTGTCTACAGGCCCGCGTCTAGTCGTCTTTAATCCCGTAAATCTGGACTTTCCTCTCGATATATAGGTCGGATATCGGTGGGAGCGTCAACTCCCTCAGGTCGGCCGCTCCATGTCCACGGGTCGGTGTAATCAGCTCGGTACCATGACCGGGAGCTCCGGGACGGACTCGGGACGAACTACGTCACTCATTCGGTACCGTGTGCAGCAGGTCACCGAGGATCGGTTCGGTGTGTGAGCCAGGCTGCCGGTGCGGCTGGTCAGTGGGAATATGGCTGATCTCAGAGCGGATCATTCGGGAAGCTGAAGGCACCACAACACACTTCCTGTCTGGAAGTTTCACAATAAAAGACACATTTAAAGTATTAAACACTTTTATTCAAAATAAAGGGCTACAACTTTATTTTGGCTAGAATATGAAAATAATACAAAGTAAGAGCTTTTGTATAAATCTGTAGGATAAAGAAAGGAGATTATTTGCTCTTAAACTTCACATATTAAGTAAAGTTTTAAGTTTCAATATATTTTAAAGAACAAATCAACAGATACATCATAAACGATTAAATACACGTGTGATCTGCTTATATCCCTCAGGAATATATTCAGTCAGTAAATAAATTAACTGAATAACAGAAAATCATTGAGAATATATTTAAAAAACAAAAAAATAAGAAAGGAAAATATGTCAAATGTTGAACACTAAAACATCTCCGTGCTTTTACTTTGAAGGATACTATACCAGTCCCGGAAGTCAGTACCTGCTGCCCTGTGCTGACCTGACTCACCTGTCTGTTTCTCCCTGAGGAGCACAGTGGCCCCGCCTTCCTGCACCGGAAATGCTCTCCATGCATGACGTCATGACGTGATTGACAGGAGCCGGGATAGACTGGTACCCTCCCACCACACACACATAAACACAATAATGAAAACAAAAACACAGACGGGTCTGACATCATCGGTGTGACGTCACAACAAAAACAATTTTACAAAATTTAAGTTTGTGGTTTCATTGATTGAAGTTTCATTTTGAGAAAAAAACAATTATAGAGTTTAAATAAAACATGTAAAGTTTAAGTAACG